ATGCCCATGGTCACCTCCCCCATACCCGACACACACGGTCGAAGCTTTGCAAAGTGCATCTCCACACGAGACCCCGTTCGCTTCAGAGGTTCCCGAGCCACAAACAAGGCAGTTCCCACTCGCTCCCTGCACCCAAGGTACATCTCAGGCTATAAATAGCCAATTAAGATAATTAAACAAGCACCACGATTGCCTCATGCAGTTCAGCTCAGATTCACACCTAAAAACAAATTTCCGAGGTGTATCGACCTAAAACACCCACAAAACCATCACACAGGCACATCACACGTACCCTCTTCCCCCACGACCCCGCCTGCCCGATTTCCCACCCATCTCCTCCGAAGACAAGCGTCCATCACCACGGCTTTCCTCCTTCCCTCACAAGAAAACCGCCGAGGCGCAGCTGGAGTTTTGCGGCATCCTTGCAAACACCCATGTCTGACCAATTCCAAGCCGAGCGAGCCCCCGGCTTTGCCGGGCAGGGTGCTGGTGGGTGCTGGAGGTCTCTGGGTGCTCCGGGAGAAGAAGCCTGTAGGGAAGGTCTTGCCGGGGCATTAGGAGGGGTGGTGGCCAGCAGGAGCCGGGGCTGGGGTCTGCAGCGGGGTACGCCAGCGTCTGGAACCCCCTGTAGTCTGCAAGGAAACGGGTAGGGCTTAGCACACCGTGGTCCCCAAAATCCAACGAGCTTTGGGGATACCCCGGGCTCATCTCCCCACTGGCCCGGTTACCTCTACATAGGCGGTGGAAACCAAAGCTGGGTCCAGCCTTTTCCTCTTGAGGGAAGGGGACTGCGGAGCAGAGCGAGAACCCGCCGTTAGGCAACGCGCGCGCCGGGTGGTGAACCCAGCGCCCGGTTGACTCATCGAGGGGACCCGGGTTTCTGTGCCGCTGCAGAGGGGCCGAGGTCACGGCGGGGCAACCTCACCTTCCTGGCGGGCTGAATCGTGGAGTAGATGGTGCAGCTTTCGGGTTCCTGAGGGCGGCTGGCTCCCTGCCAGGGAGAAACGGTCGAGGTGGGCGAAGAAAAAGGAGTTTTGGGCAAAAGGGGTGGTCTTGGTGGCTGCAATGGAGGCGTCCGGCCCGGGGGCTGCACAGCCAAGCCCACGGGGCAGCTCCAGTCCCCTCCCCGCCGGCTCAGGACTGAGCCTACCTGCGTTTTGGTGCAGACGACGGCGTAGATGGTGTTTCCTCCCACGGTGGCCTCACCGGTCCCACTCTGGGGGAGAAAGCAAGGCCATACTGGTTAAAGGAGGCAACGCGGGGTGACGGACGTTTCCAGAGGTCCCGTCCCTCTGGGCAGTGCGGGGAGGGGACAGCCCCAGCACTCACGGGGTCTTGGCTGGTTTGGGCTTTGCCCACCTCCTCGTAGACGGTCAGAGTCTGCTCGATGGGTCCTGGGGGAGTTTGAAGGGTCAGTGTGAGACGGCGGACGTGTTAGAGCCCCCAGACTGAGGGGGTTCAGCCCTCAAGCAAAGCAAAGCAGAGGGAAGAAAGAGGTCCCTTGGTAACTGGGAGGTTCTCCTTTGTTGGCTCCTGGCAGGGGCTGGGGACGGATGCTCCAACCCAGAAAAAAATGAATATCCAAGCCCAAAAAGTCCTCTCGACCCCATGGGACGAGGCCTCCAGGTTTGGGCACCAACGCTTGGGCTGCTGGGGTGCTTCATCTACCTCATCAACCTGGACCACGCGGCCTCAGCAGGGATGGGCAAAGGCTTCATGCCCTGAGCAGCGCCCGGCGCGGGGGGGACCGTGCCCGGTGACTTATCCCGCATCCGCCCCAGGAGGCCAGGGTCAGCACAGGAGCTTTAGGAGCGTGACAGGAGGAGGGGGCTGCACAGTCGAAACCCCACGGCTGCCTCTCCCCCAAGCTACCGCGCCAACCCCGGGGACAAACCTCCCGGGGGTTCCTTTCCTCGCTTCCTGCACCAGTAGCAAGTGACAACGAAGGCTACGCAGGTGGCCAGTGCCAGCCCCAGGGACACGGCCACTGCCCACCATGGAACGACGCTGAAAAGCCCTGGGGAGGAAGGAGAGGAGATGGGGAGACCTTCAGTGCGGGGCAGAACCTCGAGCCGTGTCTGAACGCTCTCCATCACAGCCTGCAGAGGACAGACCTGGCCAGGAAACCTCAGCCCCGGCTACGTCACCCATGCTCGGCTGTCACGTTTCCTTTCCCAGGAGTAGAAGCTGGGAATATTTTGGCATCAGTGTGACGTCCTCCGCAGTATCACTGGCCCAGGCAGGGCAACTAAGGGCCCCAAGAGAGGGCTAGAAGCGGTGCGGCTTCTGCACCCCCTAAATCCTGCTGCTCCGGAGCTGAGGACTAATTACCTGGGGCCACAGCGCGGCAGGCTACCGTGATGTCGGCGCTGGCCGTGCCCCAGCTCACCGGGTTGCTCACGTTGCAGCAGCAGACGGTGGGGTCGGCGTCCCCATGGACCTGCAGGTGCAGCTGGGGCTGGTGCTCCAGGGCTCCCAGGGGACCCCCGCCGCAGGACCAGCTGTAGGAGACGTTGCCGGCACAGGGCACGATGCAGACCAGCGAGAGGTTGCACCAGCCCTGCTCCCGGTGCAGGATGCGTGCCTCCAGGCGCGGCTGGCGGACGGGCTCTGTGGGGACAGAGCCGGTGAGACGGGATGGGGCGAGGGGACAGGTTGACGGGATGATGGGGACCCAGCCACTCACCCCACACCGACACGTGGAAGCACGGGGCGGTAACAACACCCGACGTCTCCTCAAACTCTGCCTTATAGACCCCACTGTCTGCTGGGCTCACTCGGCTGATCCTCAGGGAGAGGGTTTCCTCCTGGAAAATGGCTCTCCCAGAAAAAGGACCCCTGGAGAACTGGGCAGCTTTATTCTTCTCAGTGGTCAGGATCCGGTTCTGGGATCCTGTGTCCAGCCTCACTCGCCACTCGACCTTTGCCCACCCCTGCGGGGGTCTCTCCGGCAGCAGCAGCAGCGTTCCGCCGGCAGACACGGCTT